CTGCATCTCCGTTTTGGGACAATAGTGGTTTGTTCTGACATAGGACTAGGCTTCTCCATAAAGCTATGGTCCTTCCCTGCTAAGGACACTCCTAGATGACACAGAATCACAGAATGGTAGGGGTTTGGAAGGGATGTCTGAAGATCATCTTGTCCAACCCCCCTGCCAAGGTAGGGTCACCTAGGGCAGGTTGCACAGGAACGCATCCAGTCGGGTTTGGAAGGTCTCCAGAGAAGGAGACTCCCATCTGGGCAGCCTGATCCAGTGCTCCGTTACCCTCACAGTAAAGAAGTTTTTCCTTGTGTTGAGGTGGAACTTCCTGCACTGCAGTTTATGCCCGTTGCCCCTCGTCCTGTCACTGGGCACTACTGAAAAGAGACTGGCTCCATCCTCCTGACAGCCACCCTTCAGAGATTTACAGACATTGGTAAGGTCCCCTCTCAGCCTTCTCTTCTCCAGACTAAACAGCCCCAGGTCTCTCAGCCTTTCCTCACACAAGAGATGTTCCAGTCCCTTAATCATCTTTGTAGCCCTCCTAGACATACTCCTGGATGACCTTTTAAAAAATTTTGGTTCCTATTTAAATTTCTGCTTGATATTTGTGTGTGTGTGTACTGAGATGTTACTACTCTGATTATTGTGGTTTTGGGGTTTTTAAGTAACTGATGTGTTCTTGTTAATTCTGACAAATCCAAAGCTGATAGAGCAGGCATGTTAAGAAATTTTTTGCACAGTTAAGGCTCCACATGGTCTTTGCTGCTTCTAGTTTATAGAAATGTTAGTGCATTCTCTTCTAACGTGTGATCTGTACTACAGAAGTAGAGTACATGTAGTTCCCCAAACAGACTTGAATCTGTGAAGTCACTTTAGAAATTTCTAAAGACATTCTTCTTGATTTCTTTTCTTTTTCTCCTGTTGGTTTGTAGCAGAGCACTATTCTTTGGTTCTTTTTTCACACTTGTGGTGTTAAAACTATTGAAACTTATTAAATGATAATGTGACTCTCTTGACGGGAAGAATTGAGAGTTCTAAGAAAAACACAGATCAACTTTTACATGATAAAGCTGACTTGGCAAAAATGAGTGTGTGGAGGAATGGCAAGCCAGAGCAGGATGAGTTAAGGCTGATCAACCATGGAAGACAAGCTACCTAACTTTATACTACTAATGTATATTACTGTAATTGTATTTGATATGAGTGCTATATTGAGACCACTTACAAATGCATGGTACCAAAATTTGGGATAGTCTTTTCCAACGTCTTGTGAAGTTGTATTTCTACAGAAGCGTACTTGAAAACAGAGTAGAAATGTCTAGACCAGAAACTTCCTTGAAAGATAAACTCCTTTCCATTATTCTCTGTGCTGACCTTACTGATGTTACAGGTTATTCAGAAAATGATACATATAAGATCAGACTCGCACTGCATTGGGGTTCGATTGGGTTAGAGGCAGAAGACAGCACTTAAGTACATGCCGTGTTGAAACGAAACAGTCAGATGGACTTTTCCAAGTACTTCAAGTATAAAGTTTTCCACCTCCTGAATATGAAGTTGTCCATGGCAGTGCAAGCCCATAGAGTGAGTTAAGTGGAGATGAAAAATAGTTGCAGCTAGCAGTACTCTTCGTTAGGGGCTCATGTTGACAAGAAAAATAAGATGATATATAAAAAATAAAGTTAACTGTTCTTCTTGCAGTTTACCTTTGGTAACTTCTTAAGCCTCTAACTCTACTGTATGTCTGAAATGCGTTAGGCTGCCATAAACTGTCAGTAGTGTGTTGCACACCTAGCCTGCCTCTAGTTGCGAGGTGATGCAGTCAGTCTTAAACTTCAGTTAAATTTTTAAAAAAGATGATTAATGAAACTCTCCTGTTACAGAAAAATCAAAACTGGAAAGAAGAGCTTGTTAAACACAACTGCTGTGCCAATCCCAGGGTTGCATTTGCTATGGCCAGGAAATGGTTATGCATAAGAGTGACAGAGACATTTAATAGCAATGGACCAAATGCATCCCGCAGTTGTGTTTTTCTTCCTCTCTTCTTGACTGATAGAACATCTATTATATGATGGAGAACTCCTTGCCCCAGATCAGAGATCTGGATCTGTAATATCTTCCTGCCTTTAGAGTAAGGGTGGCCGCAGTCTGCTTCACTGTGCGATGTGTCTGCCTAGCTCTAGGTGAGTCTGGTGTCTTCCTGCTGTTGCAGCAGCATCTACATGTGCAGCCCATATGGGCCCTCCTGGGATGGGGCTGTGTTCTCAGGGCAGTCCTGGCCTGTATTTTTACTCGTCTCCCTGTTCATGCTTGCTTGTGCAGTATGTTCTCAGACAGGGTCCACATAATCCTATGATGTGTTGGTGGTGGCGGCCTTGCTTAAGGGTTGATGATAACCCACGCAGAAGTAGTGTTTTTGAAATCCATCGTGTAAGTCAGGGCAACTGGTTGATAGCTGCTGAAGCTGGAGATGAAAATGATCCCTAATTCTGAAGTACATTTATGTGAGTGTCTTCAATGGCTGGATTGTTTACCAAACCCTGCTGGGAGTTTCTCCTCTAGGAAAGTGAGGATTGTGCCTTCAGCTTTCAACTAAACAACTAATCTTCCAGGGCATAGTCACTTAATTCTTTATCTACTTAAACTTACCTCCAACTCAGCAATAGTACAGTCACTGGATACCTGCTTTTAGCTGAAGCATTCCTGAAACGTTTAAATTGTGCAGCATTCTTGTAGGGAGGAATGCTGCACAGCCTGTCGGCCCAGCACTAAGCTGAGCTTACCCTCTTCAAAACTCTGTGGTGGCAGTTGCAACTTTGTGTAATCAAAATACACTAATAGGGAAGAATTCTGTGGGATGTTGGCAGTGCTATTTAGAGGCTGTCAGCAGCGTGCTTGCCTTTTTTTCTTGAGTCAGTCTCAAACAGTTCTAATCTGCAGCAGTTTGTGTTGAATGCTTATGAATACATCCTTTTTTCTTCTTCCTTGCTAATTTTTTTTTCTACACATTCAGTCACCTGGAATAAATGTCCTTTCCACAAGGCAAGTATAGATATACAGAAAATGTTCTGCCTTACTAATTTAAAAAAATTCCTTTTGCATAATTCTGTATTATATTACTTCAACCTCAAGATGTAACCACGTTTTTTTGTGTCGTGTTTTTTTACACAAGAAGCTATAGTAAGGCTGTTCCTCTCTAACGAGAGTTCAAAAATGGATGACAAAGGCTTCTTGTATTTTAAGTGTATGAAATAATTGGGGCTGCTCTGGAGCACGTATGTTTGTTTTTCAGTAAGGTCATAAGAAATCCAACCTTGTAAGCTAATAATAGCTTCAAAAAAATCAATAATTTTAAAAACATCTAAATAGCATAAAAACTTTACTCCAGAAAGTTCTTATGAATTGAAGAATTGTATAGCCTGAATTCTCCTGGAAGAAATAATGTAGTACCCTATTCAACTGTGTACCATATGAGTAAGTACTTGTAGTTCATAACTTACTGTGCCCAGTTCTGGGCTTCCCAGTAGAAGAAGGATGTGGACATACTGAAGCAAGTCCAGTGAAGGGCTGGGAGGATGATTATGGGCTTGGAGTGTCTGACGTGCAGGGAGAGGCTGCGAGAGGTGAGGTGGTTCAGCCTCTGAAAGAGACGGCTCAAGGGGTCTTAGCAATGTGTATTGGTACGTGGTGGGGGAGGTAAAGAAGATGGAGTCAGACTTTGTGATGCACAGAGAGGACAAGAGGCAGTGACCACAAATTCAAATATAGGAAACTCTGTTTAAACGTAACAACACGTCTTTACTGTAAGGGTGGTCAAACATGGAAACGGGTTGCCCAGTGTGGTGGTAGACTCTCTGTCCTTGGAGATACTCAAAACCCAACTGGATGTGGCTCTGAGTAATTTACTTTGAGCAGGGGAGTTGGACTAATCTGTGATAATCTCAGAACATAGTTAATACTGTTTCATGTAGGTTTATGCCAGTGCTTTGTATGCTAATTAGTCACTTTATATAAGAATTAAGGTAGACATAGACATCACTGGTTTCTGCTAAGTGCCTTGTCTGAATTATCTCTCTGTGTTTATTCTGGCATATGCTAACTGCCAAGAAGGGTTACTGACCTGATGCTTATTTTATGATATTGCAAAGCATTTGTGTTGCTTTAAATGTCTTGTATGAAGAATTATTTTTTTTTTCCCCAAGCTTTTATATCACTTTTCAATCCTATAATATTCCATGATTTCTGCTTTTATAGTAACATAAAATCCTTTAATACCTTGCTAGGTGATGTTGGCTTTAAGTTTTCAACAAATTTTTCAGGTGCATCAATTTTGTACCTGCTTACTCTATCTTCAGCTAGTTTGTTAGACTACCTGTCCTTAGTCCTTAAATATAAAAAGATAGCACTCTGAACAACAACAACAAAAAAAAAAAAAAAAAAAAAAAAAATTGGAAGTGCTTTGAAATTTGCTACGTTTTTCTCAAAGGATTCTTTAAAATTTCTTAATATCTTTAAATTTGTATTTTTAACTATTCTAGCTGTTGCAGACGAGACAGTTTTTATCCTCTGAAGTGAAGGCTTTCCCATTGAATAGTAAATTCCTTCTTGTAATACTCTGCATCCTTCAGCTGCTCATGAAATTGTGCTGGCTTGGAGCCTAACACTGTTCCAAGAGAAGTATGTCTAATTCTGTAGTGATGTGAACTAAGTCCCTTGTGTGACTATTTGCTTGACTGTGACCTACCTGTTTGTTTGCGGTGTGATGGAAATGCGTTGACTTTTCCTGTGTTCCTAAAAAAATTGAGTGCTGTCAGGCAGAAACTATAAATATTTTTAAATGAAGTATGTAGACATGAGATGAACTGAGGTTACTTTAGATTACGGGCAGGCTATGCACTAATCATTACTGGGTAACTTTTGTTAGGGCCTTTGCTATAATTGTACTGATGGTATGAGAAAGAAGGCGATAGCTTACTAATACTGAAATTTTCTTTTTTATCCTTCAGAGCTGTTGAGTCCCAGAGTGAGGGACAGTGTGCCCCAGTGGACTCCCTGTGGCGACGTTACAGTGAATTTGAGTTGTTGAGGAATTATTTGTCAGTTACCTATCCACATATTGTTGTTCCACCTTTGCCAGAAAAAAGGGTAAGGAAGCTGAGGCTGAAGCTTGCTTTGTATTGTTTGTTATTTATTTACTATTAACACTCTTCTGTTTAAATAGGCTGACTTTGTTTGGCATAAGCTATCAGCAGATAACATGGATCCAGATTTTGTGGAAAGAAGAAGAATCGGTTTGGAAAACTTCTTGTTACGTGTGGCTTCACATCCTGTTCTTTGCCAAGACAAAATCTTTTATTCATTTTTAACACAGGTATGGTAAAGTGGTGTGCTTTCTAAATACATTCTTCAGTGATTATTTACTTGAGAGAAGGTCCTTTTGCTCTTCTTCCCTCCATTTGACCCATAGCTTGTTCTGTGTCTAGAAGAAGGATAGACGACGTGGATAAACTTGATATGGAAAAGGCTTGTCCATCTAAAAGCTTCTGAACAGCCCACTGTAGTTGTATAGCTGGCCTTCTAATGTACCTTATGACTTCTTTCCCGTCTAGTTTTAAGGCTCCTAAGAGAGAATTTCTGCCTCTTTGGAACAGCATGTTGGGAACTGAACGTGTGTTGGTTGGGAAAGCTTCCCTAGGACTAAAGCTGAAATAGTTAACATGCTGTACTGCTGGCTGCAGAGATAGTACTGGCTTCCAATTCACTTTTTGGATATCCATGGTTTCTTTAGCTTTGTGGTTTGCATCATGATACATTCATATGTGTCGTGGTCCAAAAGCAGTACAATACGTTATCACAGAAGTTGTGATGCGGTTGTCAGCTAAGCATTGCATTCTGCAGTTTTCAACTTTAGGAGATGTTGTATGTTTCCTTTTTCTGTGCTTTGATGAGAGATGCCCAAACAGCAGACTGAGCAGATATGTTTACTGCAGCACAGTATAGTATGTAGATGAACCAGTGTATGGTAACTGAAAAAAGTGGACAACCAACCACTACACACGAGCAAGGTGACTGCTTGTGCACTATAAACAGTTGTCACCTCTGTGTTCTCTGTATGTTCTCTGCCTCAGGCTGCAAAGGTCCTTGGAGCTGCTGATAATCTCATAGACAATAGTTGATAACTACCCTTCTTTCTGAAGAGCTGAACTACTTCTTTAGACAAAGCTGTGCGGCTCCTGCCCCCAGTTGATAGAATGAGGTAATTGAGTAGTGAAGAGGAGAGAGTTTTTTTGGGGGAGGTTAGTATGTAGCCAGAACATAATAACCTGTTATTCTTAATCCAGATTCTTGAAAAGATATTGAGAGGGTAGCTGAGGCAGAACCTGGGCTTACAGGAGAAGCCCTGCTGATATAGGGACTTGCAAAAGTCTTAAATCGCTCTAACTGAATGTTCTTTTCCTGTATTTTTAGGAAGCTGGATGGAAGGAAATGGTGAATGAGACTGGATTTCAGTTAAAGGTAATTATTGTAATAGTTTGTCTCATGACTGCTGTGATGTAGAAGTACTTCAGCAATGTTTTAGGCTTTTTATGAAAGACTGTTTGCTGTTAGAATGAGTTAAAGACATTGCTTTGTGTATATTTTTAACTACAAAAAACAGTGGTGTTCTTAGCATGTAATAGGTGGAACTTCAGTTGTTAAGTTCTCTAGCAGGCTTATTAATATGTTCCTATGTTTGATACTCAACCGTGTAATTCTACTAGTAATGTAGAATTAAGTTCCTTATAAGCTTTAAAACTAATGATCTTGAGCCCATAGGAGTGCTCTTGTATGTTGTCAGTTTAGTTTAGCATTGTTTTTAAGGTGGGCATCAGTTTTAGCCTGGTAAGATGTGCAAGGTGTCAAAAAAAAAAAAGGCAAGCAAAGGGGTCTGAATTGTAGGACTTCTCTACAAGGATAAGTTGCTGAAAGGGACTAAGACAGATGGACTTGGTGACCCTTAACTATTTAACAGAATGTGTCTTGAAGTAGTACTATCCCCATTGGCATCAGTGAGTTCGTGGATGGGCAAACTCATGGAAGACTTGCAGGAATAAATGATCAAAGTTCACGTGTCTGTACAGGACAAGAATCTGAGAAGCTGATAGAATGCTGGGCTGTGTCTGGAAAAGTTACTGTATGGGGACAAATACTGAGCTTTTGTTTCATTGTAATGTGATCAACTCTCATGAAATCACCACTGAAAACTAGGTGGATTATGAAGAATTATTCTGAATAGGGAGAGCTAAAGAAAATCACTGGTGCTCTTATCCTCAGTGTCCAAGGGGCTTTGATACTGACCCTTAATGTTGATAATTTAAGTTGACAATAATCCTCTTCCATCATGGTAGGGGTTGCATATTGCTAGAATTTATAATGCAACAAGTGTAAAGCTCTCAAGCTGTGTTTTCCTAGTCAACACATCTTTATTTCAGCTTACTCATATGAGTTCAGAAAGTTTGTACTGGCAGGGTATGTTCAGGAGTGCACGCACTGCTGTGTGTATGAAAGAAAACTCATAGCAGGATGCTGAGAATATTTACCTACCTGAAACCATATTGTAGATTAAATGAGATGAGCAAATCCTGTTTTCCTTATAGATTTGATTGTGTGTATAGTTTCCCTTTTACAGTTCCTGTTTCCTCAGGGAAGAAAAATAACTTTCTGCAAAAGCCTGGGGAAAAAGCATCTTTCCTTTATTCACAATCTGAAGTATAAAACCCTCAAGATTGGAGGTTGTTTAGCACTACACTGGAGGACAGGCCTCTATTCACTACGTGTCTTAGACTAGAATCAGCCCCCTGGTTTACATGCTGCTGTCTCTGCCACTGATGCATTAAAGCAGGATGTGTCTTTTGTCCCAAAGGGTTTGAACCAGGCAAACTAAACTTTAAATTAGGCATTAATGCAGTGTAGCATGTTATAGTTGAATGTTGATGTTAGAGACTTTGTTTACTCTGCCAACTGTATCATTAAATCATGCTTTTCCTCCCTCCCAACCCCAGCACTTAATTTTAATCTTTAAGGGGTTTGTCACTTGGGGATTTTAACCCTTCCTTTAGGACGGAGAAAATTCACGTCTCTTTAGTTTACTTAAATGATTATAGGATCAAAGTAGGAATTAACTGTCTGAAAACTCCTTGTCTATACTCACTTGATGGGGAATTAATCTCTAAAATGTTTGTGCATATTAGTCTTAAATCGAGTTTAAGACTGGACAGACATTTTTCTAACAGCATAACTCTGTGTGGTGAAAATGCTCACAAGTGGTGTGTGGGAGTTACTGTGCTGTTAACAGAAAGAAGGAAATAACCCTACTTAGATGGTTGAGCATTGTCAGGATCTTGGTTCCTGCCTGGCAGTGCTTGTGTACTTACTGAACTCTTCCTTCAGAGCACTACATGTGTCTGTAACAAAAGGCAGAAACTTGCCCTGTAACTGTAATGTAGGAGGTGATCCTTTTCAAGCGTAAACCTGCTGAATGTGGGTGCTGTCCTAACAAACTCAACTGGCTTTGGTGCCTGCTGTTTGAACATAAATACAGTATTTTGTGAAATAGCTACTTAAGAGGGGAGGACTCTGATTTAACATCAGTGTACCTAGGAGGTGATTATACTGTGTGAGAATGTGTGAGGAGTACATGTAGGTGCATCTGAACGACCTGAAATTTAACTGGCGTGCGTAATGACTTGTTGGGGATGGAGCAGTGGAGGTCCAAGGCCATACAAGCCCATGGAGCACTGAATAAACATAAAGCCTGGGCTGGGAGTTGGAGTTACTGCAGTAACTGTGGTGTTCCTTGTGCCATCTTGGATGTGCTTTCCCATGCTGCCTTTATCTTCTCTTTGCAAGACATTCTTAGAGGAGCACTGCATGTAGTGGTGATAATGAATCTGCCTTCTTCCAATATCAGTCATAGTTTTGCAGGTTTCATTCACTTACCTTTCAGTTTGTGGACTATGTTTTGTATTGGTTGTTCAGTGGTTGGAAGAAGGACAGCTAAAGTTAGCAAGACTTCCATCAGTACTTCTCATCATAGTTGCAAGAAAGAAGCTGCTTTTCCCTTAACTTGGATGCTTTCCTAAGTGTCCTCCAGATACAGAGGTGGTTCCAGGTGAACTGCAGTGATGCTCAAAGATAGGTATCTTCTGCTCAGCCTCAATGCGGTGGGAGGTGGAACAGTCTCAAACTGCACCTGTCTTATTTATAGAAGTTACTGAAAGTGCTCTAAAGGAAGGACTCTGTTCTTGGTTTGGGAAAACACTGTCTTCCTTTTACTGTCAAATTCAAAATAGCTCCTCAAGCTCGGAGTTGGCTGTAACAGTGCACAAAATATTCCCATATCATATACCAGCGCTAACAAATACTGCTGAAATAACTTACTGCTAGCAGTTGTGGCACAATCCATGATCTAAAAGAGTACACTGTAGGAAATCTATACACCTTACAAGATGTGTTATTAATTGTTCTTTCAATGAAAAGAGGGATGTTGTGATCAAAAGTAAACTCTAGCTATTTTACCAGAGTTGGAGTTTTCATGCAGTAAGGTGAGCCCTGAGCGAGCTGTATGTAAAATGCCATATAGAAATGAAAAGTTGTGGTGATGTGGGACCTCTCTGGATGATGCTGGGATCTCTCATCTGTGTTGGTATCTTATTAAGAGTAAATACCCATTGCATAGTTTAATGTTCAATTAAACTGGGGAAGCAAAAAAAAGAAAAACCTCTTTAGAGAGATTCTATACATCTGTTGCAGTCATTGGTAAACCATCATCTCAAAAAGTAAAGTAGCCAATTACCTTCTTAATTAGGTATTGAACTTTATTCTGTAGAGATTTATGTATGCTCTGTTATAGAAAAGCACACTGCATTAAAACCAGATCTATTCTGATACACAAATTACATATTTTCTGTGAAGCTAGTCATAAAATAAGAGAACACCATATATAAGATTTTGATTTCACTGGGGAACTAGTAATAAAGAGCGTATAGAGGTCACTCTACCACTGGTTTTATTTGGTTTGAAAAATATAAAATAGTTTGTCCATATGGTCTTATGTTACCTAATTGTTTCATCTAAAAAGAATGTAGTGTTGTGTATCTTAACTCCATGACTCGTGTAACATTTTAAGAAGGGACTATTTTTGTGGATATGGATTATACCAGCTTAATTTTAGTGGATACTGTTTACATCGTAGTTCACAAAAATAGCTTAGTTTTTTGACTTTTTATTAAAAAAATCCGACATGCAGGGCAGTTAGTGTCAGCTTGTTCAATGTTTGAAGATTTAAATATGCCAGGAAGGCAGGATTTTTTTCTAATGGTGCTGCCAGAAGGCTCAGATTTTTTGTCACTGGAATTTAATTGCGTTAAATTAACAAAGCTTTTTTTCCCCTTTTTTCAGGCAGATTCCAGATTAAAAGCTCTTAATGCAACATTCAGAGTGAAAAACCCAGACAAGTAAGATTCCACACCCTTCCTCCCTCCCTCTCTTTTTTTCAGTTACAACTGTAACTTCAGATGACAGAATATTCTATCTCCTTAGAATAAATTCAGAAAAGAAAAATTACCTTTCTGCACTTCAAATCTTAACATGAGCCCAGTAAGAAGGTAGTGTGAAAAGGTTTGATAAATTCTATTTCTAGGAGCAGGAAACATTCAGAAAAATGCCATCACTTTATGCAAAATGATTCTCTCACTTTAGCTAGATTAAAAGGAAGGGACAAATAATTAAAACAAACAAACAACAAAACCCAACAAAAAACTAGACCCAGAAAAAGAACCTCTTAATATTTGTTTGCAAAGAAATCTTTCCAAGTGTGAACAGAATACGGATTGATAGTAGGTATTTCCAAAAATCTGCTAGTGTACAATTCTGGATGCATGCACCCTGGTGTTGCAGTGCATTGTTGTTTTCAAGCTGCCAATTTTTACAGATGCTATTGGAAGTCTGGAGGTCCATTCAGCTCTGCAGTTTAGGAAGCTCTGGGACAGGCAGTAGAGCAATCTGCTGGATCAGAAAAACTAGTCAGAAATGTAAGGGTGTGTAGTGGGAGGTTCATCACACCCTGGGTAATCCGAGGAGGGTAAAATGAGAGTTTCTACTGCTGCAGTAGTTAGAAACATTAGTGTGTAGCCATAGGGTCAAGAGATGTTGCTGTTTGCCATCTATAAGCAATGGAGACCCAAATGATGCCCTTTTGGGTTCATCTGCTGTCCAGTAGTAGCCATAGGAGATGCTATTTAGGGAGAGCCTGTGTGCCTGACTGCTTTCCGTTGTCTGTTCCCTTTGTGCTTCCCTAGCATCTATGGGTATTGCATTAAGGATGATAGAGGGCACGTACCTTTCTAAACCTGTTTATAGACTTACCTGTGAATTGGTGCAGTTCCTCCTTTTTTATTCTGTTTGCTTTTGCCTTCTGTGGCAGCAAGGAAGCTTTTAGCTAGGGTTTAATATAAAAGATAACATTCACAATGAGATCGAAAGACAGCAATTCTCTTAGTAGCTCCAGGTGAAATCAGACCCTTGTTTGAACACTTTATCCTCCATCATCTTTGTCTGTGGCTAGTGGGAGTTAGCTTTTCCTGTGTTCACAGCAGGGAGACTTTGCCTAGTCTGCCTATGAGCATAGGTGGGCTTGTTAATGCTGAGATGAGAAATACAGTGTTATCTTTCGAGGTAACTTTGGATGTTTTGGAAATGTTTTGGAAAGCAAAGCTGTTGTGAGAAGTGGCTTGGTAAAAAGCAGGAAAAGAGCTAATAAAAGTAAAACATGAGGAAGAGTGTGTAACAAAAACAATCCCTGAGTATCTCTTTCAACAGAGACTTCACAGCACTTAAGAGATGTGGCACATGCGTTCTGTTGTATTCTGCCAGCTACATAGCTTCCACGTTGAACTTTTGAATACAAGTTGTTTAATAAATAACTGATTAGCATAACTTTTTTTTTTTTAATTCAGGGAGAGCCTTTTAGCATAGCATGTGTGGCCCTAAAGGAGGAATAGTGCCTTGCTCTGCCTAGCACACTTAGCTGAGCTGCCTGGAACCTCAAGTGATATTCATACCTCTCTGCATTACCTTTGGTGCTTGTACAAATGTGTGGTAAAGTGGATTCAGCAAGCTCACCTTGCTGAAACGAAGGATCTGACCGCTGTGTGGAGCGTAGGCTTTCAGGTTCCTGGACCAGGAAGGGTTCAGCTGAAGAATAGCTGCAGCGACCAATCCAGATTGCCTTGGGGTGCAGTGGAGCTGCACCCTTCAGGTTAGAGCAATGTGAGGAGCTTTAAACAGCTGAAACAGTGTTGCTCTAGGAGTTCAAATGTGGACTGGAAAGTAAACCTCCTCCTGTGGGAAGCAATATCTTTAATGGTGGAATTATATGGTGATAAAAATACAGTATTCTGGTACTCAGAGGTAGATTTGTATCTATGGCGAACCTCTCTAATTTGGCCTCATGGCACTCATCCTCTTGTCTTTCTGTACTTTGATCAAATCAATAGCTTTCTTGAAAGCTTTCTTTAGAAAACACTAAATCTTTTCCTAAGGCAGAAAATGGTACAGCCCTCCCTGATTTACTTGGGAGGAGTACTGTCAAGTAAAATGCACAAAGTAAATAACTTATATTGAAATGCTAGCTAGTACTATAAATGAAATTTTCTTCTTTGCCATTGCCATAAAAGATATTTTCAAGAAGAAGCCTAGCGGTGCCCCTACAACCATGTGACCTATCTGTTCTTCATTTATAACTCAAGTTCTACTTAACTCAAACTTCTTAAATATCTAGACTGTTGGTGATATTGAAGAACCAGTAAAACCAATGGAAAAGTGCTAGACTTGCTTTAATTAGAGTGCCAAAACTATGTCTTGCTTCACACTTCTACTGTTACGATGTGCTGGAAAATAAACAACCCTTTGTGTGCCTTGCCAAACTTGGTTTGGAAGTTACTTTGTAATTATGTAATTTTTTACATGAGCAATGAGTAGGACTTAAGCAAATACTTGAGAAATAAACCTTTGATCTGCAACACCACCAATCTCTTAAAAACGTTTTTTTTCCTGAAAACTGGTATTTGTGAAACTTTCAACCTTCACAAAGGTTTCGGCAAAAAATAGCATCACTTTTGCTTATGCTTTTCTGAGACAATAAAAAGAAGACAGATTGGTTCTGAAGTAGTGATTATTTTTTTAATGGAGGAGGAATTGGCATGGGAGAAGATGTATTGCTGCTGGAGTCCAGGATGCTGGAAGTTCTCTTAGGTTCCTGACTCTTGCCTTTGAGGAGTACAGCATTGCTAAAAGGTTTCTTGCCACAAAACAGGATAAATAAAACTTTTCATTATGAATTTCTCGAGTGGAAAGGGGAGTCTTCCTGAGCTGAAGGCATGCTTTTTAATCTTTTGTTTTTAGTTCAGTTATTTCAAACATCTTCACTGTACGTGGCTGCAGCTGTCCGACATGCAGCCTTGGTGCATATTTTATAAAGTGTAAACTGAAAAGATTGCTCTCTAAACCCCACTGTGCAGATCAATGACTATATTTATTTTTCCCATACAGTTTCTCTGCTGGCTTTTAAATCTTTTTATGTACTTTAACTCTGTGTGTGTCATAATCTTATAAAAGATGCTCCTTGGAGATGAAAAATATTAGAAATGGTAATAAAGCTGCTACTTCCTGCATGTAAGGAGGAGACTATTTTAGGTGGAAGATTTCCTGGCAGGGGAAGAAGAGGTGTTAAATGAAAAACCCTGGAATTTCATACTTGGTCACCCAAAAGAAGTGACCTGACTCATTTCAGTAAGACCTCTTGGGTACAAAGTATTCTGAAATACAAAGCCTGACTGTGTGCCTGTTGTGGGAGGGTGGATGAAGGTTTTAATGCTTCAGTATAAACTCAGAAGGCTAATCTTAGTTTCCCATTCCTTAATTCTACTTGTGTTGTTTTGTGCTTGTTTATTTTCAGAGCATTGTTTAGTAATTTAGGTAAAGCTGTTTCTGCCTTCCCAGTCTGGATGAAATACGTTCTTGTGTACCAGAGTAGGTCATGAGTTAGACTTGTGTGTAATAGGGAGGGTTTATGTATACAGAAGTGGCTGTGCTGTGGCTTAATTGGTTACCTGTCACTAGCAAAGCTGTGGCAACTGATTGAACTTCCTGATTAGCATGAGCTAAATATATCAACTTATACTACCACCAAGGCTTAACTGGGATGACGGATGAAATGCCTTTCCTTCAGTAGTGGCAGGCTAGCAGCCTGCACATGGTCACTTCTGATGGGTTACCGGACTGAGACCTTGTTAAGATGTAGTGACTTGATTGCTTTTAGCTGTGCATGACTCCTGTGCAGGTACAGGTCTCGGTAGGGTTTTGTATGCAACAAGTTACAGCTACTGTATGGTTTAGCCTTAGAGGAGTTGTGATAATTGTGGACGCTTCCTTGAACTTCTGAAAGGTTATACTCAAAACTGGCTAGATGGCAGCTTGAAAGTAAAGTATCTTCATTAGGTTGGAAATGTGAACACATTTTATTAAGAAATACATATGCTACAGAAGATTTTTTGGCTTTGTACTTACTTGAAACTTTCCTATTCACTCATGCTTGCTTTTATAAATCCCATTAAAAAAAAAAGTAGTAATTTCAGTTTACTTATATTTCATAACAATCTATCTCTTAAATTGTTCTGAACCTTCATCATTTACATAAAAAAGTAGTTATGCAAGTGTTGGGTTGTTCACTTTAGGGAAATTGTACTCTGCAGTCACTTCTTCAGGAGTCTTCAGCTAATTCCACCTCAACATAATCTAGGCTCTGTCTTGCTGGCTGTAGCATTGTGGCTCTATCTTGCACTCCGTGAAAGCTTGCTTTCATGATGGCTAATGATGTACTATCTGTTTCCTGCTCCCAGGAGATTTACTGAGCTAAAACACTATAGCGATGAACTGCAGTCTGTCATATCACACCTTCTGCGAGTCAGAGCTGTAAGTATTTCCCATGTGTGTCGTGACAAATAGTATAATTTATTTCTAAGCCAGCATTTCTTGTTTAGTCAGGAGAACTGGTATATGTGCTCTAGAATAAGGGCAGTTTTGCCTGAGAGAGTCTGGCTCTGGAGCATGGGGCAGGAGATGGCAAGGAGCGGGGTGCTGACGTAGTACAGATTGGGGGAGGGGGGGGAAAGAGGTCCAAATGTGGTGGTTGTGTTTGACAGTCATTGGAGGAGCAAACACATGCATGTTGCTTATCTGCCCTCTCCCCTGATGGTCACATATCAGAGGGAAGTGTTTTAAAGAGGATCGAGATGTCTGCTTCTGTCTACTCAGCAGACAAGTTGCTTTTGCTGGATGTCTGAGCTGGGAAGGGCCCCAAAACACAGTTTTTTGGTCAGACATATAATACTTCATTTTCCAGAGCTCGTAGTATGAATTGTGTGTACTTCCCAGCACACTTTTTCTTTTTTTGGCTTGTTCTTCAATCGGTAATGAACAATGTTCTTTCTAATGATGGGAACAATTATGTCATGCATCAAGATACTCTATGGGTTGAGAATAGAAGATTTTTTTTTTTTAAAGTCACAGAAAGGAAATAGGAAATTAAATGTCAATAATGAGGAGCATGATACTGCTTTTTAGTATGTTCAACAGGGATTTAATTTTTATGGAAACTGTGCGGCAGAGAGGACGGTAATGGATTGCCCTGTTGAGCTGAGGTTCTTGAGAGGATTAATCACTGGTGTTCTGCTGACAGTGCCTTTTTCTCAGGGTTGTATGTGCATGAGATCTGTTGGGCAACTTGTTTCTGTTTTCTTTTTACTGCTTTGACAGACCAATAATGGTAACTCTCACCAAACTTCACTCTCATTTCATTGATACATCATAATTACAAGGGCATTCTCTGGATTACAAGTCGCACTTCAGAGCGTGCATGTGGTCTCTTCTTTTGAGGTTGTTGCCAGCATCATAGTGCTGGCTGCAGCAGGCAGTGACTCTCCAAGCAGCTGAAATGACATATCTAGCTTGAGCAATAATTTCTGCAATGGATAGCTCATTTCCTTTCCTTTGTTTCACTGAGCTGGATGGAAAAATCCAAGTCACTTGTTAGAATTTTACTGAAGCTTTCTTGGTGACCAGGACGGACTTTTGTCTTGCCATGTTTATGTTAAATAAGTAATGTATATTTAAAATACACTTTGCATTATTTGGGTAAAGGAGGCTATGCCTTACATCCGGTTGTCAAAAAGAAGGTAACTTGATTATTTGTGGTATCCATAGGCATATCCTATAGATGAGCTCTTCTAAAGAAATACTGGAGATGTTACTTTTCAATGTATCCTTGACTGTAACTTCAGTCTTCAAAGACTTAATGCTGTTGATTTTTCCTTCAGTAGTGGCCTAACCTTGTTTACCTATGTTAAAATATTAAGGCTTTAGCTTGAAGTTTGTATATAGGTTTTCACACAGCAATTGCACTTAATGTTGATGACCAAAACCTGACTCTTAAATGTTTTAGAGGGTAGCAGACCGGCTATATGGTGTCTATAAAGTCCATGGCAACTATGGAAGAGTATTCAGGTAAGAGTTTATCAAGTTTTTAAATATATACGTAGCTGGAGAGATGTGGAGAGAGAGAGAAAGGAATTTTTTGGTTTTGTTGTTATGCTTTTGAAAAGTATATCTGAAACATTTCAATGTCTGCGTTGGAAAAATTTTGTATTGCAGTACTAATGAGATTTCTGTGTTGGATATAGCGATCTCTGGGTCTTCTGAGCTCAGTCTCTAGTGGAAGACTCGAGCTTTTTTGTTTTGTATTCTAGTCCTTTGGGGCTTTTGCTGTTGCATTGGCATTGTGTTTCTTCAGAAAGTAACTTACTACCTATTTTCCTGCAGTTGTCTCTGAAAAGCTTCTAGGTCCTTTTAATGGTTAAAAGTCAACAACTATATCTATCCAATTTTAGTACCTTTTTAAACTGAATTTGCCAATCACTTTTTGATTTATATGAGTGAATTGCATGCTCAAGTTTTCCATCTCACTGGAGAATTAAAGAATCTAAACTTCTGGTTAAGGGAAACCTCCTGCTTCTACACACTGTTCAAGTGCTAAATTTAATTCTCTGGGTTAATGGATTGCAGATGTGTTTCTCATTGGGGGTTTTAAAGTGAAATTAGGTGTAGTTCTGTAATAACACAAAGACAAACAAATGTCAACATCAGCAGAGTGGAATGTTTATGAAAAAGTGAAGGACAGAATAGATGCATTAGACGTAAATTATGTGAAATATAAGGGGGACCCCCTCCTTTTTTCTTGTAAAGAGTTGTGGATGTAATTCTTGTAACTAAGAAATCTCATAAGGTTTCACAAAGCTGAGAACAAAATTAAAATTGCAGTGTACATACTTGGATGACGAGACTAAGTCTCTTGCTCTCTTTATTGAAGCTTTGTTTCCTTCTTTATCTAAATGATCTCCCTAATGTGAACAGGTACGCGCAGTAATGAGACGGTTATAAGTTGATACTTTTTTAATGAATAGAACTAAACAGGAGTCTCCTATGAAAACAGAAAACAGTGTACAGCAAATGGTTTCAGGAGCAGTAAAATGCTTGCAAATGTCAAATCCCACCTTCTGTTTTTTGGAATGAGAGGCTTCTATCTGATGCATTGTGATTCTGGGAAGCTTAGTTTCTTCTTGATGAGCATGTTAGACCAAATTCTGTTTTAGAAAGTTCCCTCTTCCCCCATTCCCCACCCCCTTATGTTAAGTGCTAGTACCCGATTTTTTTTTTTTAATTTAGTTTTAGCTATTTAAACAAGGCTCTTTCTGCTCAAAACCAATCCCAAACTAAGTGTATTTGTGAAGATGAGTTTAGGTGGCAGGGACATTTGTCTAATGGAGTACCGTAAATAGCCTTGCCACATTGTCAGCGTTACTACTTAGCGGAAGAAAACAGTTTGGCCAAGTCTAAGTTCGAGGCAGTTTCCATTCAGGTGTCACCTGGAAAGAAACTATATACAGGATGCAGCTTATTAACTTCTCTTACCCTTCATGTGTGATGTTGTTTCTCATTTGTTTTTCCTACAGTGAATGGAGTGCAATAGAAAAGGAGATGGGGGATGGGTTGCAGAGTGCTGGCCACCACATGGATGTGTAAGTACTGACTGAATATCTGATAGTTTGATGTAAGCCAGATGTAGAACTCTGCCTCTTTCCTCTCTTTTCCCTCAACCCCAAAGTACATACGAGTAGAGTACCGAGAAAGTTGGGGGTGCGTTGTTTTTAGGTATACAGTGTTTCTGTAACTTGGATGCAGGCACAATTTTAGCATCCATGTACTGTATTAAGTAGCTCAAAAGGTCTCAGGAGAACCAGGGGGGTTTCTTTTTTTATTATTATTTTGAAATTGTAGAAGTGTCTGGAATTCTTCCAGTTTTTCTTTTAGGCTACTATGCCAGAAACTGGTGGAATACAACTTTAATGTACTGCAGACCTGATGAGATCCATTTGGTTTTGATAGCAGCATTTTGTACCATGCAGTAGATGGTACACAGATTTGGACTTAGTTACAGAAAGTTAAGAAATTTAATTAATCAGCACTGAAACTCAAACGGATTCCTGAAACAAATACTGACTGGATGTAATAAAGTAGAGAATCCTCCCTCTTTGCATCTTTAGAGTCAGTTGGCAGAGTATGCGAAACACAGCCTTCAAAATAAGAGTCTAGCACTGCAGCACTAGCAGTGCTCACAGAAGTGGTATTCTAGGCTCATGCTTTCTGCTTTGCAGGTAGTCATAGGTAGTAAGTGAAACAGTGTAGTTTCTCATTGCTCTGATTCTTCTTCTACTAATCACACAATACAGACAAGTAACAACTCCAACTAAGAGGTGGAAGGTGTTTGACACTTCTTCATACAATATTTTTACTGGTGAAGTGTAATTTGTGTGGAAGTTATAGTGTTTAGTTTACAGTGCAGACTTACATATGTACTACTACCTGGTTGTAATTGGTGGTGTGCCTTGTCAAGTGGAAGGGTTTGAAGAGCCGTGCCAAACTCTGCCCTCAGCTTCTTCAGAATAATTCTGTTTTTATCAGACCTTTAAGAATTTGAACCCCTCTGAATAATTTATTCTTGCTTCTGTGTTTTGGCTAACATGGTGGTTTGTGCCCCAAAAAAGCTATAATATTTTTTAGGCAGAGGGCTGTGGTGAGAGTAAAGAAAAGGAGAATGCATTCTGCTTTCAGAAGAAAATGATTGAAGGAGAGGTGGAATACAATGCTAAGCACCTACTATCGTATGCGGAAATTGAAGAGATTATGAAAACATGGTATAATATGGAAGAGTTAAGGAGGTACAAGTAGGTTTTGAGTGGTTCAGATACACCACACTAAGAGATGTCAAACACCTAGAAATGCATAACCAACTAAAGGAAGTGTGTGTCACTTCTCAGTGAGGAGGCTGAACCCTCTCCACACATTTGAGATGTTTAAGGTTTCTGTCTAACACAGTTAGGGTTAAAGATCCAGAGTAATGGCAGTGAGTTTCAGGATAACTTTATTCCCTGCATGAAGTCTGAGGTAGCTTTTATTGTCTGTCTTCTGCTCTGGCACTTTTGTGCAACAATAATCTTAGTGACAATGAAGGAAGAAGCAGCAGCTGTGAGATCCAGGAACTGATTCAGTGGCCTATGTGTTCTGCTACCAGTAAGGATGCTATCTGTGATCTCTTGAAAGTATAACTTACCAGTCTGGTTACCATTCCCATAACATTAGACAGGAATTTATTGCAACAGAAAGCTACTTCAAGAAGGTTGCCCGATATAGATGTTAAACTTCAAGGCTAATTTAATTATTCTTTATCTACCCCATATGCTGTAGTCTTTACTAGATGTTTATTTAAACTTTTGAGTTATTATTGTTTAGTATGATCTAAAATGGCTTAATATCTGGAGAAGACATCCCAAAGCACCTCTGGGGCTGTGTTGTATAACAGGATGAGGCTTGCTAAAGTGATAGAAAACAACAGAGTGTGCTGAGAAAACTCAAGTGAATGGCTGTAATTCTATTATTTAAAAGATGAAAGAAAAAAATGCCAGACCTTTGACTTCTGTCTTTTACCTATTAATGAGTGATCCTTTATCTCTGTATCAACTAGACTGTCATTACAGGTGGAAGCAGTCTAAACTAAAACAGGGGTTTAGTTGATGATTCCCATGAAGAGTGGGAACATATTGGGTACCTTTAGTGCAGTGTTTTTCCTTAAGGTTTTCCCTGGTTTGCCTACCTGCTTAGGACAGACCAGTATTTAAACTTCAGCTTAGGCGATCAAAAGTATGATTTGTCTTACTACTCTTTTCTTTCAAACCAAACTTAAGTGTCATTATGAAAACCCTGTCTAGGTAAGGTGGGTTTTTTGTTTGGTGTTTTTTTTTGTCTGTTTGTTTTTTTGAGAGTTTTTTCTATTACAGATGAGCTCTAGCACTGCTCTAATCTTAGAACTTACTTGAAACTGAAATGTGGTCCATCTGCTGCCCTGAGAAATCTAACCACTGTACTAAAATTATTGCACTTCAGAACTTAAAAATAGAGAGGGCAAGCCACTTATGACCCATGTAGCTGCAGGATTTTTTCAGAACAAGTATATTTTTCAACAGTTTGGACTTCTTCCTTACTTTGATTCATAATGCGAATTCTTGTTCTGCCTGTTCTTTTATCCCTTCACTTAAACTCATATGCTGTTGCTGGTCACTTCATATGTTACGCTTATTTATCCCAAATAGCCTTGGTAGGGCCGTTCCTGGATGTACCATGTCTCTTGATTTCACAGAGCATCAAAACAACTCATCTTGCTTGCATACTTATAAAATTCATACTGGAGCAGATGGGCATGTCTACAGCTCTTTCTCAGTCTCCACATTCTAATAATCATTCTGCAAGTAGCCATTCCCTCTTTGAAAGGCCTTATTTCTTGTGCCCTACTGAGCAGGCCTGAGGATGATGTTAACTTTCAGCAAGAGTGTCGCTCTTGGTTACCTCCCTTAAATTCCCAGGGGTCTTCGTGACATTCTTTCTTTTAAAGCTTGCAGGGGGGATTTCTTGTCTCCTGTGCTGGTTTTGGCTGGGATAGAGTTAATTTTCTTCATAGTAGCTAGTATGGAGCTATGTTTTACATTTGTGCTGAAAACAGTGTTGATATTGCAGAGGTGCTTTCGTTAGTGCTGAGCAGGGCTTACACAGAAGGCAAGGCCTTTGCTGCTGCTCACAGCACCCCACCAGCGAGGAGGCTGGGGGTGCTCAAGGAGCTGGGAGGGGGCGCAGCTGGGACAGCTGACCCCACCTGACCAAAGGAATATTCTGTACCATATGATGCCATGCTCAGTATATAAAGCTGGAGGAAGAAGAAGGAAGGGGGGAGTGTTGGGAGTGATGATGTTTCTCTTCCCAAGTAACAGTTACGTGTCTTTACCTCAACCCACAAGTTTTCTCACTTCCACTCCTCCAATTCTCTTCCCCCATCCCACTGCGGGGGAGTGAGTGAGCAGCTGTGTGGTGCTTAGTTGCTGGCTGGGCTTAAACCATGACATCTCCCAAGCCATGTTACCAGTTCCCTTTCAGCTTGAGACTCTGCCACTTCTTCCATAAGAGCCAGTTACCAGAGAGGCACAGGAAGAAAGGGAAAAACTTAAAGACTTTGCAAAAACGTTAAAGCCAAGAGGTACTGTATTTAACATTTGGGTCGTGTTGTGCTGGTCACTAGGCAAGCATGGACATATGCTTGCTTCAGAGAAGCTGCAGCTGTGCAAGGGGGATGGCCACATACTTGAGAGTCCAGACTGATTTGACAGAATAGATGAAGGCATTTGTGATGGGATTTCATTCATTCTGTTTATCTCCAGTGGCACACGCCCTGTATTGCTGGCTAAAGTGGCATCCTATTTCTGTCACTGTGCCAAGTGAGATGTGCGGTTACCTCTTAGCTGTAGGCCTGTCCCTGCAAGTGTGTCCAAGCACAGTCATCTTGATTAGTGAGATTAGGGATTGAGAGCAGCCCTGCTGAGAAGGACTTCAGGATACTGGTGGATGAAAAGCTGGACATGAGCTGGCAATGTGTGCTCACAGCTCAGAAGGCCAACTGTACCCTGGGCTGCATCCAAAGCAGCGTGGCCAGCAGATCGAGGGAGGGGATTAGTGAGATACCTATTAAATACTGTCCAATAAGCAGTATAAACTAGAAGAAGAAAGTCTTTTTGCTGTTTTTAGGAGACATCCTCCAAAATGACAAAACTCTTACTGAATGCGCAAGAGCTGCAGAGTTGGTCCAAGCCCTTGTATTTCAGATTTCTCCCTAAAAGGAAGGATTGAACTTCTTGTTGCTCTGAATTGATATGCCTGACTTACACAGCAGACAAAGCAACAGACTTTCAAGGACCTGAATCATGGAATAGTTTGGGTTGGAAGGGACATTTAAAGGTCATCTAGTCCAACCCTCCTGCCATGAGCAGGGACATTTGCAACTAGATGGGGTTGCTCAGAGCCCCATCCAACCTGAACTAGAATGTTTCCAGGCATTGGGCATCTACCACCTCTCTGGGCAACCTGTGCCAGGGTTTCACCTCCCTCATTGTGAAAAAATTTCTTCCCTGTATCTAGTCGAAATCTGCCCTCCTTTAGTTTAAAACCATTACCCCTTGTCCTATCGCTACAGGCCCTGCTAAAAATTCTGTCCCCATCTTTCTTCTAAGTGCTCTTTAAGTCCTGGCAGGCTGCGATAAGGTCTCCCTGGAGCCTTCTCTTCTCCAGGCTGAACAACCTCAACTCTCTCAGCCTGTCCTCATAGGAGAGGTGTTCCATCCCTCTGATCATTTTTGTGGCCTCCTCTGGACCCTCTCCAACAGGTCCATGTCTTTCCTATACTGCGGACTCCAGAGCTGGATGCAGGATTCCAGGTGGGGTCCCACCAGAGTGGAGTAGAGGGGCAGAATCCCCTCCCTTGCCCTGCTGGCCACGCTGCTTTGGGTGCAGCCCAGGGTACAGTTGGCCTTCTGGGCTGCGAGCACACGTTGCCAGCTCACATCCAGCTTTTCATCCACCAGTATCCCAAAGTCTTTCTCAGCAGGACTGCTCTCAACCCCTTCATCCCCCAGCCTGTATCAATACTGGCGGTTGCCCCGACTTAATGTTGTGGCATTCAGGGCACCACTGTGAGTTCTTTCATACTCAGGTTGAGTAACGAACAATGAAAGCAGCTTCTTTTGCTTTTCAGAAGGTATGATGCTCATGTTCCTATGCCTTAATGCTTTAAGCTTTGCAGGATTTTTTCTGCACCATGACTTTTCTGCCTTGGTGCTGCTTATTACAGTCCACTGAAGAAAAGGAATAAATTGTTTTTCTTTCTTCTAATAAGTTTCCTGCTGTTTTCCCTTCACCCCCCAGCCTGTATCAATACTGGCGGTTGCCCCGACTTAATGTTGTGGCATTCAGGGCACCACTGTGAGTTCTTTCATACTCAGGTTGAGTAACGAACAATGAAAGCAGCTTCTTTTGCTTTTCAGAAGGTATGATGCTCATGTTCCTATGCCTTAATGCTTTAAGCTTTGCAGGATTTTTTCTGCACCATGACTTTTCTGCCTTGGTGCTGCTTATTACAGTCCACTGAAGAAAAGGAATAAATTGTTTTTCTTTCTTCTAATAAGTT